CTAGTTACTTTGTGAACACACTAGTAAATACATATATTAATCTGTAATTTCCCCCACTTCTTTTTCAAACAACCACTTGAATATATTTAAGGTAAGACAAAACAACGAGTTTTTGGTAAATAAAATTTAATACAACCATAGCCAAGTAATAATGGTTAAAAGGCATTTTTTATTAGATACAACTTTTAAAAAATTAAAGACAACTATGCACAAAGTATATTTAAACAAGACATATAAGTATTAGTGTGCTGCAACTAAATTGAAAACAAAGAAATACAAAGCTTTTTTTTTTTCCCCCCACTGTGAAGACTCTGGAGCATCTGAAAGCAAAAGACACTTGGCTGCCACAAGTCTGTACAAGCTGTAAAGCACATTATGCTTTTGCTCAACTCTATAATCGTGTTGTCTTAGATAGCTCCAGAAACTCTCAATAAGATTTAAATTAAGAAACCATGGGGAGGGGTGTTGGGGAAAGAAAGACTAAGAACTTTTTCAGGAAAGATAAATGAAAGAGCCTGTAGAAGAAAAAACAAAACAAACAAAACAGTACATAAGAATGAAACAAAAATAAGTAGATTTCCTTTTTTGACTTTAGATGCAGATATTGCAAATGATGTTTACAAGGGTTTAATCGATGTAAGATAGATGTTTTTCTTAATATCTTAAAAAGCACCTTGGCATCAAACAAAAAAAGTCCCCAATATAATAAAACTCCAAACACCCAACAACCTTTCTTAACATTTTCTTTCAAGCAACCACAAGGCTGGTGCTCATTAAAAAAATTCAAGAAGGGAAATTTACTCTATAGGAAACAAGTATGAAACTTATCTAAGGTAAGCTTTATTTAGATTGAAAGAAAAGTTGAAATAGCACTAGAGAACTTAAGGCATATAAACAAATTCAGATGCAGTTATTTTGAAAACATTAAAATAAATTCTTTTCTTTGGGACAATATATAAAATAAGTTATAACTACTGGTATTCAAAACATTTTTTAATGATGATCTTTAGCACTACAAAAATTTAATATCTAAGGCAATCACACAAATGTAAAACATTCATAAAAAACATTTTTAAAAAGTCTGAAGTATGTTGAAACTGTCTCTGGATTTATCAATTCACACTCCTGGCTCAAGCGGTTTCTGATGACTAGCATTAGACGTGACAGTAAGTATAGCTAGCTAGTCAAACCTACTGCCTTAAAGGCCAACCAAATTGCCCCATTCTGGTTTCTTGGTATGGTGAATGTACTTAACTAAAAGGAATAATGGGGTGAGGTGATATAAACCTGGTTTTTAATATAATGCACAAGAAATTCTAAGAAAGGCCAAAATTATGTTGAGGTTAACTGGTGTCTTGAGTTTAGGAAAATAAAGGCAGTCCACAGGAAGCCTTTAAGAGACGTTATCTTATCACTTGGCACCACATAAAGAGCAATCTCTTCTCTTTGAAAATACAGTCTGGAGTAGAAGATATCTTTTCCACATACAAATCTCAAGAAACAAAGGCACACACTGATGATTCAGCCCTCTCTTTTCATGTATGGGTTCTCACAGCATTTCTTTTTAAAAAATCTATTGCCATATCCACACAACAGGAAAAAAAAAAACAAAACACACCTGGTTTGTACACTGACAAAAGTAGTATAATTGAACCTTTGTATTTTCCTGAGTTTCATTTCAAAAGGGTATGACAGTAGAGATACATAAACAATTCATATTCACTAAGAGAAAATGTTATCAGTCCACAAAACATTTTCATCTTTCTAAATATAAAAAAATGAATGTTTAACCACCGCCATGTGTGAAGCCCCTTTACCAAACTGAATTTACTCTAGAATCATGAACTGCAGGTTACTTAGATATGGCACTTTAAACACTCCAATTAGGCAAAAATGACAAGTTAATACCCTCCCTGAGTATTTACATCATTTTTTTGTTAACACCTGGTTTAAATGGAGTAAATACCTATATTTCAGTCATCTAGGGGAAAAAAAAGGGTTACTAAAGATACAATAGACTACCATTTCATACCTGTGCAGTAAAGTCAGTGGGAAGATTAGAGTAGAAAAGGAAGAAGGCCTTTTTGTTGTAAAAATTAGACCACTTTATAGCTCACTCACATATAGGAACACATGAAAAATGATTAAAGTTCATGGAGAAAAAACTGTACATTTCTGTTGACCCACAAAAAATACTTTTGAATTCCTTCCCCACTGAGGTATATCAATGGCTAGGTTTAGCAAACTTGTATCTCCCGTCAATTTGTTTTCTGATCTTGTAAAACTGTATGCATTATATAGATTCTGACTGTATATGAATCATCATACTAATATTCATCATGTACTTTCATATGTAACAAAGCATTCTAGAAATGCCCAAATTAAAAAAATATACTTCTGGAATTGAATTGAATAAGGTCAACTAATTTTTACTTTATGTGCCTTTTTCTGATCAGAAACTGATAAAATTCTTGATGTCTGTATGTATGTGTGTAGATGAGCATACCATCTATCTACATATATACACACATGTATTGAATATATACATACACATTAACCCAAAGGCTTATACGAGCATCACCCACCAAAAGAAAATCTGTCAACTATGTGATGACAGCATGAATATAATCTGATACCATTTTGGTCAATAAATCCCTTTTGATATACTAATTATACCCTAAAATTCTTTATTACTTTATCAATGCTAACATCATTATTTATCAAAAATCAGTAAAGGAAGATAAATAATTAAAGAAAATTGAAGTATCAATTGGGTAACTTTAAAAATTGTTACTTTAATTTCATAGGATTCAAACTAAGTTCTTGGTGGCCTACTTAATTTACGTAGTTTTAAATTATGTAGAGAAAAAAATTAAACAATATTGGCATGAGGTCCATGTTTAAACAAATTCTGTTTTATAGGATTTCAAATTTACTACAACAGACACCTGAACATTAAAAATAAATGTATAACAAAATACAAGTAAATAGTTAATACTTTTATAATAGACGAAAGTACTAAAATACAGGTTATGTTGAGAAACTCTTCTTTGTGTGAAGTGTCTATTTATGGATGGGCATGATCTTACAAATACACATGAAAATAACAAGTATCATTTGTATAATTCTCAGCATTTACAAAACACTTTTCTCATATACCACAAAGAATTTCTGAACTACATAGGTTCCATTATCTACAAAAGGTATGATGCAGAAGTTTACTCTAAAATTAAAACAAGTATCCCAATTGTATCTACTATTGTCTTTCAACTAAAACGGTAGAAAAGTGGTTTCTGAATTGCTTTGATAATTATCACAAAAAGGTATACATTTCAAATTATGATCTGAAAAATAAAAATTCCTTAAAGATTTGTTAAGTTTTTTAGAGTTTTCCTCAGAATTCAGATTCCAGCTAGGCATTACAAGTTGATTCTGTACAGGTTTATTTGAAATCTTTGCATCATTCTAAAATGAGAAAGAAAGAGTAGTTTATCAATGTTAGGTTTTTGATTACTACCTTGGTTTTAACAGAAATCTGGTGACACTATAATCACATATTTGCATCATTTCTCCTATGGCAAGTATATAATTATGATGTGAGACAACAATAGTGCCTGGGGAAGATGAAATACAGCAGGCTACCTGAACATCCCTAAAATGTTTTAAATTACATCTGTCCACCCAGAAATATCAATAATCACGTACACTATAGTTCCTGCCATTCCATTTGCCTTAGAAAAAGTTTTACACTCTTCTCTGAAAACCAGTAAGCTTTATAAACTGGAGTTGAAACATCTAGACAAAAGCAATTTGATGTAGAGAAGCTTGAGAATATTGATCACTATTTTACACAATGGGTACCAAATGAAAGATTTATCTTAGAAGACTGCAACTACTGCTGTTAGTTTCTTCAAATAGCTAATTTTAAAAGAAATATGGACCCACTGAGACAGGTGGTCCCTGCTTTATCCTTTAAGGGCAGCTTAACAGTAGAGACTCCCAGGATTTTTAGCTGTTCACAAGAAAGTAGGATAACCAGGAAGAGGTCCTCACCCAAAGCACCATAGTAATGAGGTCAAACCCTACTGGGCTAAGGAGAAAATTTGTCCCTGTTTTTCACAAGATAATATTGCAAAGCGGATTTCAACTCTTCTGCCATGTTCAAGAAAAGGCGCATCCCTTAGAGGATTTAGAGATGATATATAAATACTTTTGAGAGCCACAGTGGGTCATTTTCCCTTCAATGGTCTTAGATGATTTTTTCTTAGGAACTAACATGTAATTTTAATCTCCATTTTAGGGGCACTTGCTTTTGTATCTCCTCCCCCCAAAATACCTTTAATATAAGAAAATAATTCTAAGAATGAAGTCATAATAATTCAGTATTTTATGATACTCAGATTGTCATCATTACATTTTTATCAATTACAGAAAAAAACCCACAATAAAATTAATCAATTTGGATGTATTTTTTAGTGACAAAGATTTTTAAAACTGGTTTTTCCACCTTAGAATGATTCTAAGTATTCTAAGCATTATATGAGTCAAACTAAGTGAAAACTTGCCATGCAATTATATATATATATATGTATGTGTATATATACACACACACACACACACATGTGACAAAATAAGGAATACACAGTCTTGCAGATAAACATACATAAATGAAGAAACCATCACAAATTCCTAAAAGGTATGCAGGCAGACATTATTTCATACTCCACATAAGTTTCTTACAAATACTCACAAAGGTACACTCTCAAAGCCCAAGCAAAGACCACTATTACCTTCAACAACAACAAAATTTTTTTTCCCAATTACAGAAAAGGCTTTATTACAGTTTGAAAGACTGATATTTTGGGGAGAAAGGCACGACAATTATTATTTTTACTTTTCTGTGCATATTGCAAAAAGGAGATACGTCAAGTTCCCACTCTGGAGTTTTTAAAACCTCTCATCTTGGATTGCTGTGGCTTCTTGGGTGAGGTATCCTGGTTTTAGAGCTTAAAGCATTTCTCATTGTATCTATGAATAGTCACACATCCATGATAGGACACTGGCCTGGGCATTGCAGCTACCCCTGTGATGATACTTGTTGCAGGATCATAACAGAGAATAGTGTCTGTGGCTTCTCCATTTTCCCGTCTTCCACCCAGGATATATATTTTACCATTACATACAGACATACCACAGTTTTCCTGTTCAACCAAATTAAAAAAAAAATTAACTGTTGACAGTAAGGGATTTGGTAGCAAACTGAAAAGTAAAATAAGACATGCTTTAATAAGTCAAAAAAGGAGACATGAAATAATAAGCTCCCTTTTGCCCAACTCCTGCTCTATGTGTGAATACTAGGTAAATTTGCATGGGTGAAGGGAGTGTTAAGATAGAATATATGGGGTCAAGATATGGGAGGTGAAGTGGGGGTGGTGGACTGAGACAAGGGTTTTAGTTAACTTAATGTTAGTTGAACGAAAACATCCTTGAAGACTTGCTTCTCCTATTACAGGAAGGTCCTTTATTATAGAAAGTGGCTATTACATGATCAAGGGGTAGGAACATTGTTCATTATAGGGGATTACCCACAAGTTGAATGAGTGAATGACAGTTATAACCAAATTAAAGAAGCACTGTTATTAGGGGCCTTGGATGGGGCACAGAAACTCCCCAGATAACATTTTATAGTTAACTTTCCATGCAATGAGACTCTTAGCTAAATTTTACTCTTCTCTGTCAATAATACAATTACTATATAAAACAAATACTCTTGCAAGGATAAGAGTGATTCTTCAAAGAAAGAAATTACACTAAAATTGTCTCACTATTGCATGAATCTGGTTATGCTGCAGGTCAATTATTCTTCCATTTAAATTTCACTTTAATTCAGAAAGTTATTGCACATTATTATCCTGTTTCCACATAACCAACGAGATGGGTTCTACCAGTGAGTACAATCAACATTTTTACTTGACCAGATTTGCTCTACCTAAATTTCACTCTTGTAGAAAAAATTAAATCTTGGTGGATTTCTATAATAGAGGATAGTATCTTTGGGTCTAGAAGAATTAGTGAGTATTTTAAAACGTCTACATTAGAGTTTATATACACCCATATTGACGTGGGGCCCATTATCATCAGTGAATGACAAACTTTTATGTAGAATACCACCCATGAATTGTACCAATTATGTACCAGACTATAACATTTTCCATCTAAAGCACAATGAGCTCTTTCTATAAATTCTGAAAGTTCTGAACACAATAAAAGACAACATCCTTAGTTTTCAAGTACAAGCTGGCTTGCACTATTGAACTTCACAGTCACTTTGATGATGATTCTTAAAACTATATAATTATAGGATCTTGTTATTAACATCATTTCATAAATAGTGCTCAGAATTAAATGAAGCAAGCAACCTTCAGAACAGATATTCATTCATATCAGGAAATTACTTGCATAGTAGTTTATTTCACTCTGAGTCTCAAGAGTAATGGCAGCTAGTAAGGAAAATAATTCATTAATATATGAAGTTTTATTTTTCATGACTTAAATGAAACACAATATTGTAAAATATACTCCTCTCCTTAATTATTATTTTTTATAATGCTTAATGCTTAAATGTTAAAATGCCAACAATAAAGAAAAAGAATCAGATTTCTTTTCAATTATTATTCTAAACTTTAACGACATTTTAAATACCTAGTCCGCTGAAGAAGGGTAAAAAAAAAATCTTCATCAGTCAGTAAAAAAGAAAATATGTTCCTGATGAAAGTTAAAAAGCAAAATATGTTTAAAATAGCAAGTTGTGGAATTTAGGAATTATGCAAAGTCAAAAGGCATGGAAATGGTGAGGTAAAAACAGAGAAAAAGGCTGGGTCCATTAGGACTGGAAAAAAAGAGCTCATTTTTTCAGTTCTTTTTTTGTCATTCAACATTCTAAGCATTTAAAAAACCCACAACCTTTGAATCAAATAGCTGTCTACCATGAAATTACAGTTGATTTATCGTTTTTCATTTGATTAGTATTAAAAGGGTAGGCAGGACTTCCCTGGTGGCGCAGTGGTTAAGAATCCGCCTGTCACTGTAGGGGATACGGGTTCAAGCCCTGGTCCGGAAGGATCCCACATGCCGGGGAGCAACTAAGCCCGTGTGCCCAACTACTGAGTCTGTGCTCTAGAGCCTGTGAGCCACAACTACTGAGCCCACATGCCACAATAACTGAAGCCCACGTGCCTAGAGCCTGTGCTCTGCAACAGGAGAAGCCACCACAATGAGAAGCCCGCACACCGCAACGAAGACTGGCCCCTGCTCTCCGCAACTAGAGAAAACCCAAGCACAGCAGTGAGGACCCAATGCAGCCAAAAAAAAATTAAAAAAAAAAAATTTACTGAGCACCAATCAATCAATGCAAGATACATGAGATGAGTTAGAAAACATAGTATCCTTAAGAAGACTGAATTCCAGTATAGAAATGAACATTTATAACTATAAGGAAATTTATCACTTGCATAATAGAGGTGTTAAGTGTAGTGACAGATCAGAAAAACAAGAGATTAATTCTGAACAGGGCAACCTCTCAGTTTGTTGTAACTGTGAAGTGGTATTTGAAAGATGAGTAGAATTACAAATAGAGAAGGTAGAAAAGGCATTAAAGGCTAAGAGGACAACATGAATCAAGGCAAGAACACATACCATCTGGATAGCAAATGCAAGCAACAGATATTTAAGGTAATTTGGGTGAAGGTGAAGAAAGTGAAGCTGAAAAGGCAAGAAGAGGTCAGACAACAGAAGACCTAGAATGAAGTGGGAAAACTTTTAGATTTTATTCAGTACATTTCCAGAGAAGAGACATAATTAGATTTGCTGAAAAATAACTGGTGGTAAAATGGGTTAGAAAAGCAAGACATTAGAGAAAGGAACACTACTTAGAAAATACTGTTTTAGTTTAGGTAAGAACTGATGAGAACCTGAACAAAAGCAGGAACCACAGAAATGGAAAAGAACAGGAGAAACTCTTGAGGACACAGAACTGATATGATGGATTGATTCAATTTAAGAGAAAGCAAGAAAAATTTTAAAAATTAAGTTTCTAGGTGTGAAATAATAGAAAATACATTATCAGCCTCTGCCCCCAGTTCCTGACACAGAGCTCCTAAATCCCTTGCAATTTCCTGGTTGATGGGAGTGTCTTTTGTTCTAAGGAGGGACTGTTGCTGGGCTCCTAGATGGGGGTTGGTCACCAGAGAAACCAAGCCATAATTAGAAGCTTGTAAGTTTCACCCCACCCTCCCTTTTCTGGAGAGGGGAGCAGGGCTGGAAACTGAATTATAACTGATCATGTCTACATGATAAAGTCTCCATAAAAATCCCAGAAGTATAGGATTTGGAGAGCTTCTAGGTTGGTAAACACATCTGTGTCCCAGAAGGGTGGTGCACCTCCAATCCATGAGGACAGAAGGTTCTCTGCTTAGGACCTTCCAGACCTGAGCTTAGGTACTTCTTTATCTGGCTGTTCATCTATGTCCTTTGTAATATACTTTATCATATAACAAACCTGTAAACATAAGTAAGTGTTTTCCTGAGCATAATTACTGAACCCAAGGCGGGGGGCTGTGGAAACCTTGATTTATAGCTAATTTGTCAGAAGTACTGGTGAAAACCTGAGACTTGTGACTGGCAATGTAAAGTGGTGGCAGTCTTGTGGGACTGAGTCCTTAACCTGTGGAACCTGAAGCAAATTTCAGGTCATGTCAGAACTGAATTGAATTGTAAGACACCAGCTGAAGACAGAGATTGGTTGGTGTGGGAATAAACCCACATATCTGGTGTCAGAAATGCTGTCAGGGAGAAACAGAGTTTTTCCATTCACTAGGTTGTTTGGAAACAGAAGAAGTAAACTTGGGGAAGAAGGTGAATTCTGTTTTAAAGTCTTGGAACGCCACGGAAAACATCAAATAGGCAGTTGGAAATTTGAGTCTGGAGCACAAGAGAGAGGCTTTAATGGAGAATAAGATTTGAAGTCATCAGTACTGAGCAGTAAACGTGATCACTCAGGAATGGAGTATAAACTGGAAAAGGGGCAGGGAAAAGAGGCTCAAGGAATACCCATATTTAAGGGTTGGGTAGAAAAAAACAAGAGAACATGAATGAGACTCAGGAGATTATTAATGACCTTTGGGAGTACAATATCTCTAGAGTGGTATAGGTAGAGCCAGATTTCCAGCATCAGAGCCATCAAGTATTTTGATGGTGGAAGGAAAGAGGGTAGAGCCATGAAACAAAAGGCCAAGGGAAGGCCTTTATGGGGCAGGGGTAGAGGCCATATAAGGGTACAAGCGCAGTGTGGATGAAAGAGACCCAAGTACAGCCATTTTCTTTATAGCAAAAACAACAAATTACCTAGTTTCTAACTGCAGAAGGAAAGAAACCAGTTTGAGAGAATTTCTTCTCTTTTGAAAATGTGCTAGAGAGAGGGATAAGAACTGGAGTAGGAGTCTCAAAAAGGTCAAGGGGAAAAAAACCCAACAGCCCAAGAGCAATACCTACTTTACCATGGGATGGTAAAAAGTAAGTTATTTCAGGGAGGGAAGTCCAAAAGGGAGGGGATACCTGTATGTGTATGGCTGATTCATTCTGTTGTGCAGTGGAGGCTAACACAGCATTGTAAACCAACCATACTCCAATAAAAATTAATTAAAAAATTAAAAACAAAAGTAAGTTATTTCAATCAATTCCTTGGAAGGAGTTCAAAACAAGAATACCATATGCTTTATGTGGAGTTTAAACAATTTTTGAGGGACTTCCCTGGTGGCTCAGTGGTTAAGAAACTGTCTGCCAATGCAGGGGACATGAGTTTAAGCCCTGGTCCAGGAAGATCGCACGTGACGCAGAGCAACTAAGCCCGTACGCCACAACTACTGAGCCTGCACTCTGGAGCCCGCGTGCCACGACGACTAAAGCCTGCGCGCCTAGAGCCCGTGCTCCACAACAAGAGAAGCCACCGCAACGAGAAGCCCGCGCACTGCAACGAACAGTAGTCCCCGCTCTCCGCACTAGAGAAAGTCCGTGGGGCAGCAACGAAGACCCGACACAGACAAAAATAAATAAATAAATAAATAATTTATTTAAAAAAGAATTTTTTTTTTGGAAATAATCCAAGCATACATGAAACACATAAATAGTGAAGTTACTGTATATTCATACTGGTCCTGTATTTGGTCTCTCCTACATTGATTATTCTTTTGGATTGTTTTATGTTATTACCTGTCGGCTGAATGTATTCTGTACATGCATCCAGTAATCTTCAACGGGATCATAACAGTATATTGCCTTGGTCAGTCCACCAGCAACATATATCAGGTTGTTTAAGGATACGGCTGTTATACACCTCTTGGCAATTGGGATAGCTGCACGAAGTAGCCAAGAATTGGTTTCTGGATCATAAGATTGAACCTAATAATATATAGAAGTACTTAATTAAAATTTCTCAACAAAAATGCAAATTTACATAATAAATAGTCTGCCAATATACAGAAACATGATTAAAAATAAAATCCCATTAATTCACAGAATTAAGGGAGGTTGGCTTGAGAGTAAAATATCTGAATTATGAAATTCTCAAATACAAATTTATTACTATCAAGCAGAATAGAGTAACAAACACAGACTGTTTCCAAGATGAATGGCTAGCAGGTTTGCTTTTTTTTTTCCATTAAAAATAAGCCTTCAAAAAAAAAAACAGTCTTATAAATTCTGTTATATAGAATAAGTATGCCTCAATTTGAATATAATTTCTTCACACGTTTAGGGAGTCTTTTCTTCAGAAGAACACCAGCGAACCTCAATTCAGTATACTTTGAATTATCACAAATTCTGAATTAATGAATTCTAAATATGTAACATTTGACATTATATTAAAATTTAATTTAGAAAAAGAATTTATTGATTGACAAAGTTCAGTAAACTACTGCTAAATGAATTAGGCATTAGACACTTGTTTGCAGAATAAACGGGGTATTTTCTGAGATGTCAGGATGGCACATGTTCTTTTGTCTCAGGAATTCAATGAACTGCAGCAACTTTGAGCCATCCTATATTTTCATTAGAGAGGTTTTCTTTTCTTTTCTTTGTTCTAAGAATATTTTCAAAGTATGCAGAAAATGACCCAGTTGGAAGCAGTACAGTGTTTTACCCTTTGCTAATTCACTTCCCAATTGTTTTATGTGAATAATTTTTTGATTTTGTCAACTATACCAGTAAAAAGTTTTTAAATGGTTTATAGTATAACGCTGAGATCAGTCTCATCTCAAAAAAACTGGATCACACTTTTAACAGAAAATTGTTGGATATATTATGATCTCACTTTATGATCTCACTTTAGTAACTTGAAACTCAATGTTTTCCTCCCTAAGTATAAAGTACCAGACAATTTTTAAAAGCCCCCTCACACTAAGTGACCAAACTACCTACTTGATAGGCCTTCCATATTTCTCTTCTTGTGTATATCATTGGTAATTTCTATTAAAAAAAAAAAAAGAGAGAGAGCATGGCTTACCTTATCAGAACAAGTATTATCATCAGGTCCTCCACCAATCACAAACAATTTGCCTATACAGCTAGTCACGGCAGGAGAACTCACTGCTTCCTTAAGGGGGGCAACTTCAGTCCATCGATTTGAAAAGGAATCATAACATTCTACGCTGCTAAGTCTGTTTTGCCCATCATAGCCTCCAACAACATATACCTATATGTAAAATACATGGAGAAATCTTAATTATCAAAAGTTTGAATTTTTAACTAGTTGGCTAAAGAATTAAGGGATGGGGGCTTCCCTGGTGGCGCAGTGGTTGAGAGTCCACCAGCCGATGCAGGGTACACAGGTTCGTGCCCCAGTCCGGGAGGATCCCACATGCCGTGGAGCGGCTGGGCCCGTGAGTCATGGCCGCTGGGCCTGCGCGTCCGGAGCCTGTGCTCCGCAACGGGAGAGGCCTCAGCAGTGAGAGGCCCGCGTACCACAAAAAAAAAACAAAAACAAAAACAATGCAACTACTGAAACCCGCTGAAATGACTTTATGCATTTTCCATATGGAAAAACTAAAAATATATACAACATTTAAATCATGTTTTTATGCTTCCTCTCTGTCTAAAAGGAAGTTGTTTATTAACATGAAATTATTTTTTTAATTGCTTTCCAGTACCTTTCATATGGTCCAGGGTCCACAAAAAAAAAAAAAAAAAAAAAGAGAATTAAGGGATCTCTCCCCTTTAAAAAGCCCTTGGTAACTGTAATTGCAATATATTTAGTTCAGTTTCTGGACCTTTAAAAAAAATTGTCATTCTCTCACCACCACCAAGGAGCCTTTTTAGACATTTTTTTCATAGTAGCCCCCTCCAATGAAATTTTTAATATCACAGATATATTGTATATCTGTTTATATATTGTATCTGTGCTTTATACACAAAACAGTATGATTTTTTTCACCCGCCCAAGAACCAATCTTCATCCCTTAGGAGCAATATTGCTTGCACTGAGAATTACAGGATTTAGCATAAATGCTCATACTCATGGATGGTGAAAATACTTGAATATTATAAAGTAATAAAAGCTATGAAACTAAAGTATTAAGTAAGGATTACTAGACTGTGAGATCTTTGAAGGCAGGGCCTATCTTGTTCTTTAATTTAGTCCCTGCAGTACCTAGAAAAGTACCTGATACATTATGAACTCTAGAATGTGTATTTCAAAGGGCTTCCATGCACATTTTCTTTTCACAAATATGAGGAAGGTAGGGCAGATGAACTAATCAACAAGCATTAATTAAATCAGTTACATGCAGAATAATCCATTAAGCATCACGAGATATACAAGAAACTTTTAACCTATAGAAGCTCTCCTAAAAAAGAAAAAAAAAAGCTCTCCTGTTTAACACCTATAATTCTTTTAATGAACAGTCATCACCAACTCTTTTCTGCATCCATATCTAATTAACTATTAAGTCCTACCAAGCGTTCTTTCACAGCATCTCTCATATCTGTCCCTTCCTTTTGTTTCCCACTGCCACCATCCTTGGGGTCCATATATTTCATACCTCTCAATCTCCTGGTCTCCACTCTTTTACTCTCTAAACCACAGATTAATCTTCCTAAAACACCTCATCAACTCCTTTTACTAGTTTAACAATGAATGCCTAAGGGTCAAGGCCAAACTTTATACATTGTCATTCAAGTGTGTCCACAAATCTATCTTTCTGTACTCTTCCAAATTTCCTCAGCAGCCAATGCTATTTCAATCTTGCATTTCTCACATTATGTTAAAATGGGTTTGTTCTCCCAACACCAGGCAGCCCAGAGAGGTTAAGTAACTTATTCAAGGTCATGCAGCTAGAAGGGGTATGGAAACTGTGGCACAATGTAGTACTTAAAGGTATGGGCTTTGAAATCAGGAGAGGTAGGTCCATATTTAGCTCTACCACTGCAAGTAAGACCTTGCTTGGGCAGTTTACCTATCTTCTCTGAGACTCCATCTTAATTTACTCAATTTAAAAATGCAGACAATAATAGTACCTATCACATAATATAATTTTGAAGATTAAACTTTATTACTATTCCCCTGTCTGCATAAACTAAAAATATATGCTGTGCGCCTTAAGATAAAAGGCCTCTAGATTAGGAAAATCTGAGCTTTTGCCCCTGCTTTATCACTTTCTGTGCAACCTTGGGCAAATGACTCTCTCTCTCTGGATTCAGTTTCTTTGTAAACTAAAGAAGTTACATTAAATATTCTCTAAGATGCCTTCTTGCGCTAAGATTCTATATTCCAAATCATCTTAGGTTTCCTTAACAGAGTGCATTTACAACTTTAAATAACTTTCTGTGTTTGAATTCAGCCTATATTGTAATTTTTGGGATAACTGTTTTCCATGAATTGAGTACCTGCTGTGTAAGGTAGGAAGGATTCCTTTTATTTCTTGATTTAGTGCTTTCAAGTTTTGGGCACCTTCAAGTCAAATATACTAATATTTGTCAAATAAATTTGTGTTCATCAATCCATATATGATATTTGAGACATCAATCTTTTTCACATGCCTCTGTATGTTCAGACTAAATAATTATAATGTTTTTAGTAAGACCTTATCTCTTTTCAACACCTTAATTATTTTAGCTGCCACTTTCCAGTAATATTTTGTCATCCTTGAGGTATAGCTACCAAAACTGTATATAATATAGTAGGTACTAACAAACCAGTGGTTTTAGAAAATACTCTATTAGTATTTTATTTCCATTACATCTACCTCAAAGTCCTCATTATTTCACTGGTCTTATAGACACCAGCAACACAGTAGATCAATACCCTTAGGAATTAACAATAGCTTTCAAACTGCACTTTGAGAAGCTCTAGTATTCTATAGTATAGAGATTTCAAGATGCTTCTGTGGGGAGATAGGAGGAGGGAATGAAAACTGATGGGTGGCTGAGTAGGAAGGGTTCCTGGCATTATGTCTGTTCCAACTAGAGCAGTTCTGCTTTCTCACTGGTGGCTCTAAAATGTCTTCAAGAGAGGGCTTAAGAGGCAGCAATCTTTTTAGAAGAGAGTACTAGGGGACCAGACAAAAATATATGTGCAGTACATTCAATATCTTATGATAACCTATAATGGAATATAAGCTGCAAACCAACAACACCCCTAAAACACGAATCACTATGCTGTACACTTGAACACAATATTGTAAATCATGTATACTTCAAAAAAAATGTGCGAGCGAGTATGCTGCTTTTATTTAGATTGCTCATTAATTGAAGTGGCTTTGGAGGAGCTGATAGGGACAGAGGCAGGGAAGGGCTAAACAGTCCAAGTTAGCCCTTGATACACAGCTGTATCTTTATCTGCTTTATGTAATAGTTTTTTATATTAGATTTAACTTCAAAAAAGTTACTAGTCTACTAATGATTCAAAAATGACTAGTCTACAAGTGATTCTCAAGTTCCTAAGGACAGTAAATGGTCCAGAATCAAATTATATGTTTTTCTTATTTATTAGCTGCAGCCAATAATAAGTTTGCTTTAAAATATGTTGGTGAGTTTATCTTAACACTTATTTGTTTTGTCCCTACTTGTACAAATAAAAAAGATAAAATAATATCACTCTACATAAATATATCTTGGCCTGAATGCCAAAGTCAGTAAAAGGAAAAAGACTGCTTGGATTAGACACTGGCCTGTTTTTGTACTTGATGTAACTGCTTTATTTTCCAGTGCTTCTCAGCCATTTAGACTGCACTGGTGCCTGAGAAGAGAAATGTGCTGCACTGCTACAAATTCCTAGTTGGGAGAACAAAATATCCATTCAAAAGTACAGTGTCAAATTGTTTATATCTTCAGTTTATGTATTGAGGTTAGAAATGGAAGGAAATACAATCTGAGTTCAAAATACCCAGAGGGTGAGTAAAATCAAGGATTCATCTGCGGTATTCATTCTGGAAGTGTAACAGCAATAATAATAAAAAGTGGTTTCTCTTACTTTACCAAGGAGGACAGCCATTTTGTGACGCCATCTGCCTTTATTTAGAGAAGCAACTCTGATCCAAATATTTAACTGTGAGTTATAAATCCAGACGTCACGGCCATTGATTCTTCCACCTTTAAATGCAAAACAATGCACACACACTAACACGTGTATCACCAAGGGATTTTGCCAAAGGCATAGATAATGAAAACATTGAGCTATTCACCCAGTCCGAGAATTTGAGGATTCAGTTCAATAAATGAAACAAGGACCCTCTTAAAACTTAAAATGGAAATGGTTCTACAGAGCAGATTTAACTTTGTCAGTTGTTATCCTGAGAAATAATAACTATATGCCCCAAATAATAAAATGCAGAATATGAATTTACCAAATGTGTAAGACTGTCCATTTAAGAGTCAGACAACAGAAGCACCCGGACAAAAGAATTATTCTAGAAAGATTTAAAAAAATCACCCGTTTTTTAAAAAGCATACCATTGTACAAAATAAAGTATGCGTTGTTATATTGTTCAACGTGTAGTAATATAGTAACCTGCAAAGGTGGTAAAATTATTTAACTAACAAATTAATCAACAAACTTAATTAAACTTCAGATTATAGATCCTATAGTTATACTTTGTATATAAGTCTGTCACTTTATTGTCTGTTTGATTTTCGAGGTAACATATCACATATTATAATAAAAGTTCAAGTTAAGAATTTTAAGGAAAATCCTATTTCATAAACGTTGGGGAGAATTTCAGAAAACATGGGTGGATTAGACATGATTAACTGAGTACTTTTCATTTTGCATACATTGCAGTAAGTGTTCCTTAAAACAAAGTAAACAGGTAAAAGTTTTAAAAATTGTACCATATTCTATATGCATTTGAGAGCACTTAAAATATGATATGGCCTATTTAGTGCAGGGAACATAGTCAATATCCTGTGATAAACCAAAACGGAAAAGAACATGAAAAAGAATTTATATATGATAACTGAATCACTTTGTTATACAGTAGATATTGACACAACATTGTAAATCAATAAAATAAAATTTAAAAATATGATATAGTTGAAGGCATTTTCCGGGGAATCTTTTGTAAATCATTCTGCATCATCTTGTGCCTGTTTTTAAGGGCAAAAAGTCATTTTCAGTTTTATTTGTTGTATAATATGATCTGCCTAAGTGGGCATATCTACTTTCACTGTTTTCTTTTGACACTGTTATGGTTTAAAACGGCCAAGCTGTGATTAAATTAAAAGTAGCTACTGTAATAATTCTTTATTTACCTGAAACAAGAATGTCATTCCTTAGAGCACAGACCGCATACTCTGATTTGGTAAATTCTGGAAGCTTAGCCAAAGACTTCCACTCTCCTGTCACAGGATCATAGCACTCAGTGTATGGAAGATTAAATCCTCCAACTCGTTCACAGCCTCCAACGACAACTATCACCTCAGAATAGCCAGTTGACCTAAAATAATTATTATAAGAATGCAAAATTAAAATACCCTCAAGATTGTTTAAAACCCTAAAAGCATACCATTGTCATAAAGAAAGTAGAACACTATTATAAAGTAAACTGTTAAGTTTATTCTCTCAGTATATGCCAACTAATATAGCTTGCTAATTACTTACTTTGAGAACATTTACAAGGGATTTAGTGATATCATCTTTCCACAGAAAATTTCTATGGGTATTTTTTTTTTCTATGAGTTTTACCTTAAAAGTTATAAAATGGTCCAAAGAGCCTACCTAATTCAATTGGAACCATGGTAATATCAAGGATGACTTTCAAATGCAGTCTTACAGCAATTCAGATATGCATAACCACACAAGGTAAAATAATGCACTTTTTCTAAGTGTAGGAAAATGGAGCTTTTTCATCAGATTGCTAGTTCTAAAAAAACATTCACAGTACAATCTAAGTACCCTTTAGAGAAGAATATGTACTTGTTCAGACACTATTTTTAAAAATAAGCTTGGGCTTCCCTGGTGGCGCAGTGGTTGAGAGTCTGCCTGCCGATGCAGGGGACACGGGTTCGTGCCCCAGTCCAGGAAGATCCCACATGCCGCTGAGCGGCTGGGCCCGTGAGCCATGGCCGCTGAGCCTGCGCGTCCGGAGCCTGTGCTCCGCAACGGGCCCGCGTACCGCAAAACAAAAATAAATAAATAAACTTTTTTTTTTGGCTGTGCCTCGTGTCTTGCGGGATCTTAGTTCTCCAAGGAGGGATTGAACCTGAGCCCTAGGCAGTGAAAGCGCAGAGTCCTAACCACTGGACCGCCAGGGAATTCCCTAAAAGTAATTTTTCTAAAGTTAAGTAAATTAAGGTAATCCAATTCAAAGCGTTGGGTGGTCACTAAAGATGTTAACAGAGTTTATAACAAAGAATGCTAAAAGAAAAAAGCAAGATGAAAAATTGTACAGAAGGTCTGATCAATACTATGTAAATAATGTGTCTGGAGAGAGCATACCAAAGTGCTAATGATGGTTTTCTCTGGATTGTGTGGCTTCCTCCTTTATATCAACACAAATTTTCAAAAGGATAATGAGCATGGGCTACTTTTAGAGTGGAAAAGACAACTTTTAAGAGCACTAAGGGAATCCAAAGTTTATGTTAATTACTGGCTTCTTTTACTTTGTAGTTTAAAAAGATACTGACAGGAAAAACTAAAAGCTTATCCAAGCCTTTTCTTTTTGTTCATAAGGCTCATGGAAATGAAAAAGTCTTGTAATTGCATTTTATGACTGCTAGGATATTAAGTCTCACAAAGAAAAATGCTAACAATGCCTCTTCTCTTACTTAAATGTGGAGGGATAAAAGACAACATCAGAACACTTATTTGTAGTTTTAGAGTGATGTTTTACAATTACACTAGAAAAAAACAAAGTAAAGCGACATTGGTATGTCCCTTTAACAGAGCTGCTATATTCTAGCTACACTTACAGCTATTTCAACTAACAATCATTCACCTAGTCCATGCCAGGCATACTTTTTCCATTAAAATCAAAAATATATATTGTAGAAAAGAATTTTGTTCACAGATGCAATAAAAATTACTTTTAGGAACCCAGAAAATTATATTACCCTAACCTAGAATATAGTAAAATATTATCAGAAGGACTCAAATATTATCAATAATATTTACTATTTTCCAAATAATTCCCAAATGAGAATATTAAAAGTAAATAGTGGACAGCACCAGACACTCAGTAGTATAACTAATGACTAATTTATCCTTCTTTCCATAGAAGTATTATTTCCTAAAATCTTACTTAAAATACTTCTAAGACAAACCCACATGATATTCCTCAAAGTCTTATTTACTGATTGAGCAAAACAAAAATTGTTAAATACTGTCACTGGGGTTCAGTCACTCCTAATAGTTTTTTTTTTTTTTTTTTTTTTTTTTTTTTTTTGGTACGTGGGCCTCTCACTGTTGTGGCCTCTCCGGTTGTGGAGCACAGGCTC